TTTTTTCAAGTCGCCGACAGTGGTTTTTTACGTTTTTTACCTGCCGGACATGAAATTGAAAAAAATCCGGAAAATTTGCTACGTAGGAAAGGCACCCGCTGCCGTGGCCTAGGTTTCTCACTGAAAATCCTCGTCCCCCGGCGGCACCTTTTTTTGAATTTTCTTCCTTTTCAACGCCGTTTTTCGGAGATTTCGGATTTTCTTTGAATTTTTTCGCAATAATATTCGGAAAATAGATAACTTTTAACACATTTTAATGCAATAAAAATTTTTAGTCGGAGTCCCCCTTTAAAACTCTGTTCATAGACGAGATACAATTTTCCAAATAGTATTATTTTGTAGTACTCGTTGAGTTCTACCGTGGCTAATTTAGTTGATCAGAATATATTGATCCTAAAAGGAACTATGGTAGGGTCCGTTTTCCAAGTTTGTCTTAAATATTATTTCGACATGGTTACCCTAACCTTATATTTCTAACTAGCTCAAAAATTTTATTGATAGTAATCAAATCTTCAGTTAATATCTGTTCCTCGATTTCAAAGTAATCATATAACATCAAAGTAGCAATTTTAAACGAGTATATGAGATCGAAGAGAGAGAAATGGGGACCTTCATATCATTTCGAGTTGAGTATTAGTGTAAAATGGCGGATGGCAATAGGTGAAGCAGAGAGGAAGAAATGGCCACAAAATGCATTTGAAGAGAGAAGGAAAATAAGAAGAAGAAGAAGAGTAAGAAGAAGAAAAAGAAGAGTGAAAAGGGAAGGACCACAAAACGAGAAAAGCGATGGCGCCGAAGGGAGCCACCAGAAACAGAAAGAGAAAGAACCCAAAAAAGTCGGGCGTGGCTCCTTCCAGAGAAAGTGAAGTGAGAGTCCCCAGTCCAACTCAAAAACCCCTTCTTTGCCTTTCTTTTCATGCATCAAAAAGTGAGAAAAGTGCGAATTTGGCCAGCGGCGGTGTGGTGGTGGATCGAGAAAAAAACGTTGACTTTTTTGATGGGATGAGAAAAAAAAATGAATGAAAGAAGAGTCTTAGGGACGAATATAATGATGATGGTGGAAGAAACTGAAAAATTGGCACAAACGAGGATTAGGAATACGTTGGGAAGATTCTGGGCTTAGAAGAAGACAGTGGGAAAATGTGTAGGAAATTCTTGAAGATTTGAACCAATCACTTAAATTGGATAAGAAGAAAAAAGAATGCGTGGGTTTGTCGAGATTAGTGATCAGTAGTTTGGTCTTCTGGGCAAATCTAAAACTTGAGAATTCTTAAAATAATCTATCATAATTAAATTTATTTGACCTGAATGGCATATTATTCTAGAGAAACGCCGCAAGCTCCCACAGCGATAACTACCGTAACCTTAAAGTTTTTATCTTCTTTTTTTTGGAAAAAGCAGTGAAAAACGAGAAATTGAGTCTAGAAAATGAAAATATTTTTAGGTTACTGTAGTTTTTTTTCTGTACCAGAATAATGTTATAATTAAATTGATTTGACCTGAACGACCAAAAGTACCCAATCAAAATTAAAAATAATCCATCTGTCACAACTTGGACTACTAAAGAAAGAAACCAAAAAAAAACTGGCATCAACACAGAAGTACGGTACTATTTTTATAAGTTCTTTGATCTCGAAAAGCACAAAACATGACCAAATATGCAAAATTTTGAAAATTTTCATACGATTTTAGGGAGGCGAGGGTGTTAAATTTCGCGCAAATCGGATCAGTTTCTGTGTGAGGGTGGAGGGAGAGAGAGAGAAATGGAGGGAGTAGAACAGAGACAAAATTGAAATGCAAATGGACTGTGTCCAAAAAGAGAGAGAGAAAAAAACGATTAGTCTGACCTCTCCATTTTTGCCAATACCAATGAGGTTCTAAGCCGATTCGGCACATCACTTTGTTTGTATGGAAATGGTCATTCTGAAGAGGGCAACGGGTAGAAGATCTAACCCAAAAAATCAAGTGCATTGGCAAATATTGTCTCGGGGCCCTTTTTGATATAAGAAAATCACCTGGGGTTCAATTTCCGCTAGAAATAACATCTAAACACAATCCGAAGACAATCATTGCAGTATCGTCTATAATAGCCCTCGAAAAAAGACAATTGATGTCAATTTGAATAAATTGGCTCGTTTTTTCTCCCCAAAAGTGATGTTTCCTCTAATATCGTATCCTTAAGTCTAAAACAGTGGAACTAAAATTGTTAAGAAATAAATAATAAGAAGATTAGTATAAGCCAAAAGACTTTGCTTTTCTGAGCTGCAGAGGCAAGCTTCGGGGAAAAACATTCCAGTCACACTGATTAAAAAAGCATATCACCGGAAAGTAATCAAAATATCTTATAGATTCTGATTAGATTATTTTGGCTGTTCCGAGCTTGATTTTTACAAACTGCCTACTGTAGTTGATTCCTTCGAAAAAAACCAAACAAAAAAGAAGAAGAAGAAGACGATTCTAAACAAACTTGCACTATATGTCTTAACGTCTGGAGCATTTGGCTCTTTTCTTTTCTCTCTAACAGGTTGTGCAAAAGGGTATTGCGTGTGTCCCAGCCAGGCACTCATTTCTCTATTCTACTCTCTCGCCCCCGGAGACGCAGAGAAACGACGGACAGTTAGAGGAAATAGGAAATGAGAGGGAAAGGTCAACTAGAGAGATGAAAAAGATGTATGAGACAAACGCTTATTGCTTTTTGTTTTCCATAGTAGCGAGTACATGAGAAGAAGAGATTTAGAGTGGATGGGTAGATAAGAGCATTACAGACTAAGAGGAGCAGAAAAAGGCCTGTTGTTGTTGTTATCGATTAGCTCTGGTCGCGCCTTCATGTGTGTCTGTGCCCAACAGACGCAGTTTGGTTTGCTGTCGTCGTTTTTTTTTCTACTGCCTTCACACATCTTGAAAATAATATGAAAGAAGAAGAGACACAGACACTGTTTCTCGTTTAAAATATGTATTTAAAAAAGTAAATGGGAAATAAAGAAGAAGAAGAAAATTGATGATGATGATGATGATGGTGATGATTATGATGAGCGGGAAAAGTCTATTAGCGGGAAACGAGGAAAGAGTTGAGAAGAAGTGATATTCTGAGATGAGAAGATATATTGGATGTGGAAAGAGGGAATTCCAGGAAAAACCTTTATGTTCATGAATTCTATAAAACTTTGCATTCAAAGAATTCACAGAAAAAAGAATAACCTAGATTTAGTTTTATGTATTTTTATAACATACGATTTACCATTTCAATTAGTTCTTAAAATACATTTAAAATGGTGAATCAGAGGTATATCGGAAACGCATAAATCTCAATGACATGTTCCTATGTTTATTAGCAATGTACAATACCAAAATCAAAGGAAAATGACTAACATTTAGAAAAATAAATTAGTTTTTTTGAAAATCTAGGTGAGGAACTGACTTACGTGACAAGTGAAATGCAACTATTTAGCCTTCACTGCCGAATCGAAAATAGAAATTTCGTCCTTATCAAAGTGTTCATCAACGTACAGATGATCAGCGATTCTGTGTGCGTAGGTCTCCCAAACCTTTCGTCGAAACATTGCAACATTTCTTCGTTTTTATCTTCTTACCCATTATCATTTACGTAAATTGTATTCCCCTACTGCGTCATTGGTGCATGTTGTGTACATATTTTTGAAGAATTTAGGTGCTTTTAAGGTGTTTCTTTTAAGAAACTATAAGTGAAACGTTAAGAATGCAAAAAAAAGGCGGGGAGATCAGAACTACAGTACTATCAGAGAACTAAAGTATTATCAGAGACAGAGAATATGGGAAATTAACGAGCAGTTTGAATTCAAATATCGTTATCAGTTGACAATAAAAATGATCAATCGCTAGGGAGGCCAGGTAAACGAGCACTCAATTAATCATTGTACTCGAGAACCTTGAATTTGTGACGCATTTGAAATGAGGTCTTCTAATATTGGCAATTGCAAAAAAGAGCATACAGGAATCTGAAGTATTCCGAAGAAACCGGAAAAAGAAGGGCCCTCACACTGTCAAGTTTGAGCTAACTGATATTATGATGAACAATTTATCAGTTGACTACTTTTTCATATCTTTAACAGAAACCAAGATGAGTTGGCTCAAAGTTGAGAGTATAAGAGCCCTTCTATTACAGCTTTTATGGTATTTGCAAATCTATTCAATCAAATAACTTTCAGTTTTCATAGTTTCTGACATACTTGAAAATTCAAGGCTTGGGGTTTTCAAATTTGAAAAAAGGTCCGAATATTCGAAGTTGTGCAATTTGGTAGAAATTTCGTTCATATTTCTATTGGTTCCGAAGTTTAAAATACCATGTCTTTTTTTGAAACCGGGCCGGGCCGAGTTTTTTTTCTAAAAAAAATTCGGCCCGTCCCACCCCGTTGCAAATATGAATTTTTATTTAGTTTGGTATTTTCTTTAAAAAACAATAATTTTTCGAATTTCAGCGCAGTAGCTACTTACGGTTCAAGACTCATCGGTCTTTCCCGAGTATAATTTCCTATTACTAAGATTTCATCAAAAAAAGAAAACGTTCAATTTCGTCTGTCATCTAAAACGAAAAATGGAGGTGGTGAAATAAACAAATTTTCAATTCAGACCTGCCATTTTCATTTCTCCCTAGGTACCCTGACGGATGTGCCTGTCAAACTAGTAATTCATCAAATTTCTCATTTTCTCTTTTTTTTCTCTTTGCAACGACTTCAAAACCAAAGTGTATAAACCTATAATTAGATTGAAAAAGAAACGTCCGTCCGGTTCCGCGAATCCGGGCGTTTCTTGTGAAAGGGATCAAAGAATAATGAAACAGATATGTGCACTCTACAGTATACCATACTCTACTAAACCTTTTTATCTTTTGTAAACACTCTGACTATGAGCGGAACACTTTTTACTCACTCGAAACGTCCCAAAGGACCATCGATAATGTAGTTTTGTTTGTCATATTCATCATTTCAGTTCTCTAAAAACCGCCACTGCCCGAAACGAAAAAAAATGGAGAGAGTGTTTGTATTCACTAGAGACTTGACTTTGTTTTCTTTTCGGACTGACGAGAATTCATATTTTGGAACATTTTGCAGAGGGATACACAAAAAAGGGAAGTTTTTCATGGAAAAATAAACTGGAAAATATTGGTCAGTTGAATTCATACGCCTTCATGATCTTCTGATAGCATTTGTCGGATATTCTGAAAAACCAAATAGAAATTATAAATGGAAAGGTTGATCTAAATACTTCTCTTTTGTTTCTAATTTTTCCATTTTCAAACGATCTTTGAGTTCGAGATCTACCATAGCTAGCGTTGAGAATCTGGCTGTACCGTGGAATTTTAATACCGTCTGGAACTTGAATTTTGAGGTTTTAAAACAATTAAAATACCTCACCGAGTTTGAAAACCTTCCTGATTCTTTGATGCGTTCAGTTGTCAAGTTTCCATGGAATTGGAAAAAATAATGACTGAAAACAAGAAGAAAAAAGTGTATCATTAAAAGTAATTACCCAAATTTTCTAACATTCCAGTTTCTTGTGTCTATCTGAATCTTGGAAATGCATTTGAACATAGAAAATTCTTTTCTTATTAGTTTCAGTAAAGACTTCATAACTTCCTTCCTGAAAAACCATAAACTTTTGTGAATTTTAGATTTAAAACAAACTGAGTTTTTTTTCCTAGTTCAACTCTTTTGGAACATATGCAGAAGTCTTCAAAAATACCCGCATCTTCACAATTTCTGTTACTGGAAAGTTCGGTTTCAAAAAGAGATCTTTGAAATTCAGAATGTTCAAAATTGGTCATTAAATCCAGCAGAGTTTCAGATATATCGTCGTCTGTGATCAATCTGAAAATAAAAACTGAGAAATTAATATTGATAAATCATCTACCTGTCTACGTTCTTGGATAAACTGCTAATTTTTCCTGGAAATTTTGTTCGGAGCCGGTCAGATGGTCTAATCAGAAACAGACCATATTTTGATTCTATCTTTCCACTTTCCGTTTTATATACAGTGCTGAAAAACAAAAACTTCGTCACGGTTGGTATACCTATTCTTATACCTATTCTTGGATCCACCACTTAAAACTATAATTGTCGTGTTTGCAAGAATCCCTTCGTCAAACAAATCTTGAAATGAATCCCTTAATACTTCATCCAGATTCACCAATGTTCCATCAAGAGGAGAAGCGATATCATCGAGATGAAGAAGAGAAAAATGACAAAACTTCTTGTTGTGAAAAGCTTTCGTTGAATTGACCCATAACGAAACTGCATCTTCTACAGTAACCTGAAACATTTAACTGTAGGAAAACTGATCTGAAGTTCTTGAATCGTACACGTCCATCTGTGATACAGTTATCCACATGACCCAGATATTTACGATTAAAATTGTTGTAGAGTTGTGAATGGAAATCAAATTTATCCCCAAAATGTTTAGAGATTCTATCGGAGTCAGAATGCAGAAACGTAACACATCTCGGTTTTCTCCATGTTCTAAACAATTTCATTGAATTCTCCCAGTTATCTATGGACCTCTGAAATTTCGTGGTTCTCATCTCTAACACTTCTTGAAAACCTCTGACCTGATTAAACATTGAAAATGACAAAAAGTTGTGTTTGGAAGCAAAACTGAAGGTTCTTTTGAGATGACGCATTGCTTGATTATGAGACATTCCAGTTACAATAAGAACCATCAATCCATCGGTTTTCTGGGATTTTCGAAATTCCAATTTTTCGAGTTTCGGTTGAAAATTGAACCATGTTTTGTTATAAAAATGATAGCCTGATGGATCTCGGCAGAAAACAACAAACTGCTCAAAATCTATTCTAGTTGGTATTCCTGGCTCAATCTGAAAACAAAATTGTTCATAAATCCAATTTTTGCCCCTACGTTAGTTTCATTTTTTGATGCATCCACTAATATCGTTCCATTTAAAAGCTCTTCTCGTTTTATAATTTCTGTGTAGACACATCTAAAATTAGAATTCTAGTCTTTGGAGAACCAGGTAAACAACAAACGTAAAGTTTTGATTGTTTTCTTTTTTCCGCTTTTCAATCAAATTTTCATGAATTGTTAATACACCATTCATGAAATTCGCCCATTTTCCCATTGGTGAATTGCACGAAAATCTGTTCAGAAAAAAAAAATGAAATACGTAGGGTTTTTTTTTCAAAAACCTACATCATTGGAGCAGTCAGTTCAAGCAAATCGAATTGTCTTGAACCAATTACATATGGCTGACACGAATTTTCCTCTTCGACCTTCAGAATATCTAAAAAGAATCAATTCAGAAAATCTAAAATAGATAGGATAAAAACCATTGAAATGCCGAAAATTATCGAATGGTTCTTCGTTGAAACCAATTGCCAAATCATGATTTCTCATTTTGGAACTTTTAATTTGAATCCATAATGGTAACATAAATAGGAAAAATAAAATGAAGAAGATTATAGTGAGTTGAGGAAACATGGAATCCAGTAGAAATCTCATTCAAATGAAGCCGTTTTTGTCAACAAAAATGTAGATCGAAATTAGCATTTTCTCCATTGAAGAATGGAAACGACGATGTTCCGGATGGTTCGATTTGATTTAAAAACAAGCCGGAAAAATCCAAATCTCTAAATTCTTCAGACAAAAGAGCAATTATGGATTGTCCAGAAGAAGTTCAAAAAAAATTAACAACAGAAACATGAAAAATTCTTCATGTAGTATTTATCAATTGGAACTTATTTCAGGACGCAGAAGTTTGAAAAAAAAATGAATGAAGGGCTTAAACATTAAGTAAAACTGAAATCTGATACTCAATAAACTGTTTTGTTTTCAAATTTATTCCTCATTTACCGTAAATCCTGTGATAAAAGTGCCCCCACACTGTCGAGTCTGAGCTAAGTTTTCTTAGCTCCTATGTAAGATATTATTAGGTTGTTTGGAAAATTCCTGTCATTTTTGATCTGTTGTTTTAAAACTTTGTTTTTTTTTCAAACGGGGTACAAGCGAGGGGGCTATCGGTTTATCAGTATATTGGTAGGGTCTTACTAGGGAACCAAAACACCTCGTCAGTTTGGATCTTGATGAAATTTTCAGGATATGTCCAGGATAGCCTATCTAGACATTCCTGAAAATTTTAGAACACGCTCGCCAGTTTCAGCCGAGTGATTTCAGTCCGAAGTTTTAGCGTAGGTTTTGAAGGGAGAACTTTATTTTTCATATTGGCACCTTAAAAAGCTTGAAAAATGAATACAGGTTTACGTGACCCTTCAAGAAAAAGTGAAGTGTGAAGTGATGAACCAATAAAAAACAGATTAAATCGCGCCATCGACAAGGAGTTCTTTCTCTTCTGACTCCACTTTTCGTTTCTTCGGATTTATAGCGCCTAGAATTGATAGATTATTTATACCATCCTATTCATACTATTTTTCTCAATCTCAAATTTTAATATTACTAAAAATTCAGATGAGTGAAGAAATACTATTTTCCAAAGAATTTCGAGTTCTAATGTTTTAAATTTCCAAATTTGCGAAAATTAAAAAAATAGAATTTAAAACTTTGTTCCTATTGTATTTCTTACCTTATTATCTTACCAAAATGAAATTCTAAAGGGTGAACATTTTTCCTAATCCCTTTTTCAGTATTCCGTATTTTTGTTTTAGGCTTTTTTGAGGGTCTCTTATTTTTCTACGAGTCCCCAAACTGGAATACAACAAATTCTCGCAATACTGACGTTATTCTTATAAAAAGTATATATAGTTACTTTTAAAAAGTTCTGAGGGTGTATTCAAAAAAGGATATTCTAGACATTTATGGAACTGGACAATTAAATTAGGACGATACAGTATTATTGAATTTGCGAGATTTATTACATTACAGTGGAGGAGACCCATAGAAAAATAGGAGACCCTCAAGACAGGCCAGAAGAATACTGAATCCTAAAAAAGGGATCAGAAAAAATTTTCACCTATTTTAGGATTTCATTTTGGTGAGATAATAAGGCAAAACGTTTATAGAATAGGAACAAAATTTTTAATACTTGTTTTTGACTTCAGCAACTCTGGAAATTTAAAACATTGACACTCGAAATTCTTTTTTCTTTCTTTCACTCGTCAATTGCTATGTTTTTCGCCAAAATAGGTGATATTGAGATTTTTTTATTTCACTTTGTAATTATTGTAAAAATCGTATTTTCAGGTGGAGTAAAAGGTAAGTTGGTAAGTATGCAATAATTACAAAGTGTAAATTATAAAAATTTTCGATTTTTCATGCAATTTCAAAAAAAGTGAAAGTGAGACATATTTTTTGAACAAGTGAAAAAAAAACAATTTTCAGCGAATTTTTTCCCATTTTCTTCTGTTTTTGATTGCATATCAATTTTAAATGGAAACTGCCATAAGTCTTTTTCAAAACCAAAACATTGAGTTTCAAAAAATCAGTAATATGTCGTTCAAAACATAAAAGAATATGGAATAATAAAGGAAAAGTACGAAATCGGAAGACCTGAACAAAATCAAATCACAATAGCACTCAATTGATATCTCTAGGAACTCCCACTGAACGGTTTAGTTCATTTCATCGAGTGCCAGCAAGCCAGGCGAGGAGATGCTTTGCGGCGGCGGTGTGCCCCATATGCCCCGTATATGCCCCATACCGGCGTCCTTTCCCTGTACCCAATTCATCGGCGCGTCCTCCGTCGCCCATCCATTATGCGTATGCGCGCCCAGGACCTGTGTGGGGATGAATAGGAATCACAAGTTTGGGGTTCGATTCCCTCGTTGTCCATTTTCTTTTTTTTTCTTTTTTTTCTTGGATGTTGGAGAAATGATTTGCATTTTTCGAAAGTTAAAAGTATATTTGCTCTTTTATTTGAGTGGGAAAAAAGCTCGAAAAAGCGATTTATTGAAAAATTCATTTTGGACTTTTTTCGAAAGATATCCAATAAGAATGTCAGTCGAAATCCTTCGATTTGACCATATTGGTTGCAGAACAGTGATAAATCTGTCAAGAAGTATGTATATCTATGTTTTTACACAATTTGAGTGCTACTGGGTGATTTTCGAAGGACTACGATTCATTGAAGTTTCGGAAGAAACCACTTATTTGGGATTTCAAAATGGATATCGGCTACAGAATCTTGTGAAAAGACTTATTTTATCATCTCATTACGTTTAGAATTCATTTTAGCATTAAAAAAATTTTCGAAAAAATGTAAAATTTCGCAAAGGCCATGGCAAAATGTTTCCAAAAAAAAAATTTGTTTTGAAATATGAGAAAACTTTTTCAAATTGTGGAGAAACTTCTAAAAATACGATTCACACTCAAAAAATGCCGAAAAACTTTCGTTAACCCTTTCAAAAACTCACTCTAAAAGTGAGAAATTAGTACTGAAATCACTTAAACAGCCCATAACTCGATTTCTAGAAATTTGTGCAGAAAACCAAATACCCCACGAGACAGCCCGTATTCAAAACTATAAATGAGCAAATTTAGAAAAAATTCTGAGATGAATGCTAAACTTGGTTCCCTTGTGAGACGGGGTGGGTGTTATCCGTGAATTTTGGGAGTTACCCAGTCCAAATGGGAGTTACCCACAACGGGGGCTATATTGGGGCTAACAGGGAAATTGTGCAGTACAGGATTTCCCGCGCGCTCCCCGAATGCCTAAGCGGGAGTTACCCGGCTAAAACGGGTGTTACCCGCCAAAAACGGGAATTACCGGACCCTTTTGGGAGGATCCCATGAACCGATGGGATCCTCCCAAAAGAGACGGGTAACTCCCGTTTTCGGCGGGTAACTCTTTGAGATTTACCTGTGTCCAGCATTCCTTGGATGTTGTTGACGTCCTTGTCCTTGTTGCTCCCTCTTGTGACACATGGTGAAGTGATGTTTTCCTTGACATTCCTTGCATTTCCAGCTGCAGTCTCGAGCCACGTGTCCAGCTTCCAAGCATTTGAAACACAGTTGTAGTTGACCAGCTCTCACTTTCCTTTCTTCATTCGTAGCATACTTTCGGCAGTCCATTGGATGATGCATCATTCGTTCTTCCACACAATACTTGCACGGCTTCTTGACCTTCTCCTTCTGACGATTGTTCATCGAATTCTTCCCTTGACCATGACGATTCTGCACAGCCATTGTAGTTGTACGCTGCTCATTTGTTGGTTTGATTGCAGCCAGCAAACTCTCCGATCTCGAAATTTTTCCAACCATCTCCAGCAACTCACTAGCTTTGTACGGCGTATCTCTGCATCCTTGGGTATAAGCTTTCCTGACGACGCGGAACGGCAATTTGCTTTCGATAGCATCAGCAGTTGATAAATTGTCCATCTCGCATCCAAGTGACATAAGCTCATTGAAAATCATTTGAGCATTGATGTAGAACTCTTGTAATGCTGCAGGCGAAGTACTGTTGGTGATATCCGGCAGCTTCCTACAGAAAATGTAGGAGAAGATGTTTGTGACGCAGTAGTCCTCCGTATTGCAGCTCCAAGATGTCAATTGCCACTTGATATTTTTGAACAGTCAAATTCTTCAGTAGTTTTGCTGGCTCTCCCGTGACAGCAGTTTTCAGCAAA